TACACCAGCAGAGCATATTCATAAGCGCAGAAACATCGTGTGTGTGTGTGTGTGTGTGTGTGTGTGTGTGTGTGTGTGTTACCTGTACACCTGAGATGTTGAAGGAATGTACCTGCGATGTCTCCCTCTTGTGTCCATTGTGATGGATTCAGGACTATTGATAATAATAATAATAGATTACATTTGTATAGCGCCTTTCAAGGGACCCAAGGCCGCTTTACATGGTCAACAAACAAACAAACAAACAAATAGGGCAAATAATAAAGTAAAAGTGAAATAGCAGGGGGACTGGTTAGGGGTCAAAGGCCATGGAGAGCAGGTGAGTTTTAAATGAAGCCTTGAAGATGTCCAGGGAGAAGCATTGCAGCCGGTGGTTGATGTCCAAACAGAAGCTGAATGAGCCTCTGTTTCTCCTGTGATGTTCCCAGACTGAAGGATGACTCTTCCGTGGCTCCTGAAGGTTTCCGTCCTGACTCTCGCTCTGTGGAGTCCAGCCAGAGGCCAGAAGAGGAAGAGGAAAGGGCAGAGAGACGACAACCAGGTCCTCCTGAATGAGGCCAAAAGTACGTGTTTAAAGCCATGAAATACATGATGTATCCAGATCCTTTCTACAGTCTGACTGCAGATTGTAAACCCTCTCTCTCTGCTCCTGATCCAGCCCTGATTTGCCCGGTGGAGCTCATGTTCATCGTGGACAGTTCGGAGAGAGCCAAGTCTCTTCTGTTCGAGCGGCAGAAGGCCTTCATCCTGCGGTTCAGCTCCAGACTCACGCAGCTGCATTCGACCGGCTGGCGTCTGCGTCTCCGTCTCGCCGCGCTGCAGTACAGCAGCTCCGTTTCCCTGGAGCACAACTTCAGAGACTGGCAGGATCTGGACGTGTTCCAGAGCCGCGTTTCCTCCATGGCGTTCATCGGACACGGCACCTATTCGGCGTACGGTATCTCCAACGCCACGCAGTTATTCGGGCGCGAGACTTCCTCCAGCAGCCTCCGGGTGGCGCTACTGATGACGGACGGATCGGATCATCCTCGAAGTCCCAGTGCTGTTGCTGCTGCCGCTGAAGCCAAGCAGCAAAACATCCGGGTGTTCATCCTCCGGCTCTCGGACCTGCCGACGGACGCACAGATGAGCGAGAAACTGAGGTCCATCGCCAGCGCCCCGCCGCAGAAACACCTGCTGAGTCTCACGGACAAACAGCTGGACGACAAACTCTTCAATGAACTGGTGAGTCTGTGGGGGGGGGTTATTAGGTTTACTGATTCACAAATCTACTGGCATGCACAACAAGAGAGCAGAACCTGATACTCAAATGTACCTAAAGAACTGGAAACCAAATACTCCTCCTTGAATCACCTTGAATTTGTAGAGAAAAACTTGTTTCTACAAAAAGGATCCAGAAACTTGGAAACAACGAGGGTCACATTCAAACACAATCTAAAGCCTTCTTATACACTAAGCTTGAGGCACCTGAGCACGAGGCTGTTCGTGCAGAGGTGTTTTGAAGAGTAATGTTTGAGTAAAAACGCATGTGTTTGGGAAGTAGGGAGCATGGGACTGAAGGTTTTTTGCTGTTGTTAATCGCGGCCCTAATTGACTTCAATGTTGGATTCTTTGTTCACCGTTGAGGCATGAGAGTTTTCTTCCAGCATTCAAGTTACCACAGGCTGAGTCTTTCATATAGTTGCTCACTGTGGGGTTCAAGTATTGAAACTGGTGGGATAAAGTTAAGCGATGAAAGCAACAAAAGTTAAACAGACCTGAAAACAAGCCACGTTTCAGCAACTCTTGGTCCGAGGTTGAGCCTTGCCTTGTCTTGAGTTACTTTTCCTGCAGGTTTGGACTTTAAATAACTGACCAACTGTCTTTGTTTTTTTCCAGAACACAATTGTAAAAACTGGGGTGAGTACCGTGACGATTATTTCCTCACATGATCATATCCTGTGTTATTATTTGAGAAGGGTGTGGTCATTTGTTCACGCACAACGAAGGCCTTATCCTTTCTCCTCTGTGTATCTCAAGCACATCGTCGATTCAGTTCTTTATATATTCATTATCTCTCATGTCTTTATTTCAGTGCCCTCAGCCGAAGTCCTGTCTATGTGAGAGGGGGGAGAGGGGGCACGCAGGAAACCCGGTGAGTGGATAATCGCATCCTAAGTTGACAAATATGAACAATATATTATCCTCTGATTGCAGAAGTTTCTAGACTCAGTACTGGATTACTTTGAGTGATACTCATCGGAGCCAAAGTGCTTATTCAGCCTGATGGAAGGACATTCGGGTCATTCGGGTCATTATTTATTCGGACTGCACACACTTGGTTATCATCACTTCCGACAAATGTTACCCAGGTTTGGTCTCGTGGTTTTAGTCCATCTGTTCAAGGTTTCGAGACAGAGAGGGTTCGTTAGGCTCCGATAACTTCTGCATCCACTCCAACGTTGACTCGTCACAACGAAGAGCCTAATAAACTTCTTTATTCTAAAGTCAGTCACTTGAGGAGCCAGCTTCTTCAGCGTTTGGTTTCTGCAGCTTTTAGTAAACGCTGCGCATGTCTCCTCAAGCTGCTGAATGTTCTCTAAACGCTGCATGTGTTGTCAAGTTGCTGGAGATGTTTCTTCGTGTAGAACATTTGGGTTTCTATATCTGCTTCCTTTCAAGGATTCAAGGATTCAAGGATTCAAGCTACAGTGTAGATATGTCAATGAACATCTGAGGTCACAGGCTCCTCCAACAGAGCAACACAACAGATCAAATAGTTAATAGTTTCTGAAGCTGTAGCACATTTAGCCACGGTTAGCTTCACTCTCCCAGCCTCAGGCGTCCACTAGCAGGTGCGTCTGGCCTACGTTCAGAACCACACAAAGAAAAGGATGTGAGCAAGCAGGAAACGTTCCCACAGTGTAAGTGTAGCAGGTGGTGCGGGGGCTGAAAGGCTGTTTTATACAGAAGCAAAGGTCAACGATGGAAGATTACACACGAGCAAACACAGGATGAGGTGGAGGTCTTTGTTGGCCGGGGGGTTACAGACAGGTCGCACTCAGACTCACCTTTTCCTAAAAACACTAAAGAGGGGCCCCAAATATTCCCCCTCTGTCCCTCTGCTTTCATGTAGGGGACATTTCTTTTGAAAAAAAAGTCAGATTTTTGAAAGAAATTCAGAAGCTCTCAGAGACTTTAGAAAGTCAGAAATCTGAAGAAAAAAAAGATTTGATCATTTAGAAAAAAGTAAGATTTCTGAATACATATTTGTCTAAGTCAGAATTCTGAAACACTTTCAGAATTTTGAGAAAAATGCAGAATTTGGAAAGAAAATCATGACATTAGGATCTGGTAGTTATGATACTTTTTACTTCAGTACATTTTGAAGCCCATACTTCTTTACTTCTACCTGAGTAAAGGATGTGTGTACTTCTACTTGAGTAAAGGATGAGTGTACTTCTACTTGAGTAAAGGATGTGTGTACTTCTACTTGAGTAAAGGATGTGTGTACTTCTCTGATACTAAGTCACCCTGCTCTCATTTAGGGGAAGCCAGGCGATCCGGGGTCTGATGGAGGTCCGGGTCCAAAGGGATTTCGTGTAAGTGTCCATTGTTTCCGTAATCCAGCTCTAGATACAGAGAATCCCCAAAGTGACGTTTGATGTTCTGTCTTCTCGTTGTTCGATCACTGTAGGGGGAATCCGGCATCAACGGACGTCCAGGGATGGGGGGCCTTCAGGTAATCACCAAATACTTTTCCAAAAAACGTTCCTGGTATGCTTTAAGTCAAGCTGTGCATCATAAAGGGGATCCATGTGGATTGAGTTGGCATTTCAGTGTCGTTATAAAACTTAAAGTAAGAAGCAATGTGCTAATCAACCATGCAGGGGTTGTTTTCCAATGCACGCTGAAGGCTCTTAGAGCAGCTTCTCTCACTGATCCTGCTGTTATGTTCAAGGTTTGTTGTTTGTTTCTCATGTGTTGTGTCTTGATATGTGTCTGTTGATGTTACACATGGAGCGGCTGGGATGCAAGGAGCATTTCAGACTTGATCTGACCATTACATTATTATCCTATCTTTGTAATATCAATATTTAAGGTGTTTAGGAACAAATATCATGGTATTTCATTTTCCTCTTATATCGCCCAACTCGGGTTACATCCATCGTTTTTAAGTAGAAACAATACCACAATTGGCTGGATATGATTGCATTGGTTGACTTTCAGTTGCATGATGGTTGGCAGACAGACAGTCCACTGTTTGATTTATTTAATCAAAATGTCTCTTTCCATAGGGTCGACCTGGCGGCAAAGGGGAAAGGGTATGTATATTATCATTTCTAAATATAATGAGTTTTAACAATTCATTTTTTTTATTCGGGATGTTCACCACTGTATTTTAAACGTACTTACTTTAAACCATACACAGGTGTTGTCGTTTAAACTATAAATCTTGCAGACTTTATGAAAAGACACTAGGCTTTGTGTCCACATTATGAAGATGTCTTCTGTAATCTACATTCACTGTTTCTCCATTGTCTGTATTCTCCAGGGAGAACAGGGGGAATGTGGAACCGCCGGTAAAAAGGGAGAACAGGTAGATGTCTTTTTATTTGACTTAACAATATGTGTTTTTCTGTGTGTGTTTTATATGTTATTGATGTGTCCTCAGGGTGCAGAGGGACCTCCGGGCCCCACAGGCCCCAGAGCAGAGCAGGTGAGATCTGGGCCTTTGATTTTTCACACCTGTGGTCACATTTACATTTTTCCGTGCCCCCACATCTTTTGTAAATCGTAATTTTGAAAAAAAAAATCGTAATTTAGAAGAAAAAAAAGTCATAATTTTGAAAAAGTCATAATTTTGAAAAAAGTCTGATTTCCCAAAAAAAAGTCTGATTTTTTTAAGATGTTGAGAAAAAAATCAGATCAAAAATAAAAATCAGAAACCCGAGAAAAAAAAGACATTTCAAAACAAGTAATAATTCTGAAAAAAGTGAAAATCTTAGATTTCTTTTTAAAATGTCTTGAAAAATAAAAAACTGAAAAAGTAATCATTCAAATTAAGTCAGAATTGGAGAAAAAAGTCAGAATTCGGCCCCTAAGATTCTTGAAACCTGAATGGGTTGTGTTCACATTGAAATATTCCCGTGCCACCCCCTCACATCCGTGCAGAAGCACTCGTTGTCCTTTTTTAAAAATTCTAAATTTTTAAACAAAAGTCATACGTTTTAACAAAAGTCAGAATTCGAGAAAATAATCATAATTTTCAACAAAAATCCATAATATTCTACAAAACATAATTTTTAACAAAAGTCAGAGTTGGAGATTCCTGAAACCTGAATGGGTTGTGGTCACATTGAAATATCCCCCTCCCCCCCGCTCCCAGAGCCCGTCTCCCACTCTGCACTGGAGGAATGTGAGCGGGGATTTAGATCTTAAACCTCCTGAATGTAGCCTTTCCAAAGCGGGGAATCCAGACTGCGCTGTTGGCTCTGTTGGCGCTGTTGGCGCTGTTGGCTCTGTTGGCGCTGTTGGCTCTGTTGGCTCTGTTGGGTCTGTTTCTCTGAGCAGACGTTGTCCCAGAGGATTAGGATTTGGGCACATTTTATCCATCTGTCCCTGCCTTCTGAAATGCTCTTTAGACTTCGGCAGACAAACTTCCTTCTGATCTGTCGCTAGTTCCCATGAACTGTACTGGAGAACCAGAGCGTAACCCAGTCCTGAAACACCTCGAATATAACGTCCGTTTGCGCCTTTGAATTATGAAATGATCTCAATGTGTGAGGACCAGCCTTTTTAATGTGTTGGCCCGTTCACTACAAATCAAAGGTATTCTATATTCTATTTTCAAAACCTAACTGTATTTCATACAAGCATTAGTGATGTGAAAACTGACTCTTCTCACAGTTTTGAGACAACCTCTCAAACGTTTGATACTTTTTTGCATAATATCGCGTACATTTCAAAGGTAACTGTCAAACATTAGATATGTTGATTGCCCATTATATAAAAAATACAGTAGATGATTAGGGACACATGTCAGTCAGAATCTTTAGAAAAGTCAGAATTTAGAAAACATTTTGATTTGTGGAACAATTATAGTATCTGACTTTGGAAAAGTGTTAGAAGTCTAAAAAAAAGTAATGTTCCAAAACAAGTCTGATTTTTGAGGAAAAGTCTGAATTCAGAGAAAAAAATTATTTGGAAAAAAGTTATAATTCCGAAAAAGATTCCAAAACTTTGAAAAAATGCAGGAAAGTCCTGTCAATTTTAAAATGTGGTGACATGACTCATGATACAATTTCTATCTGTGTCACAGCTCCATGTGGAGAACCTTTATAAACTCACACTGCTCTTAGATTCCAGCAGAGGGCGCTCACAGCTCAATCCTCTGACACACACTCTGCTCCCAGTGTGCTAAATGCGAAATCTATCTATCTATTATATTATATTCCTTTGATGGTATTTAATCTTTGACTTCCTGTTGTGTTCCTGTTTCAGGGAGCGAGGGGTTCTCCTGGAGACCCGGGTCCAGAGGGGACATCTGGATCTAAAGTACGAACACTGGCCGTCAAATCTCAACATCCAGTAAATCTCGTTAAGAAGTTAATTGCTCATTTTTGATTGTCTGTTCCCCTCCTCTAAAGGGTGAGCGGGGCCTCGGGGGAGCATCTGGACCTCCAGGAGATAACGGCATGGGGTTCCCTGGTCCAAAGGTACTTCCTAGTGTTTCATTAAATATCCAACTATAGGTTACTTTTCAGTTGATCTCTAATCTATACACTTCAACCTTCAGGGTGACAAGGGGAACCAAGGAAGACATGGAGCTCCTGGACTGATGGGGGTCGGAGAAGCAGGGACTCCGGTGAGAAATTATTTAAGATACGATACGATGTAGCTTTATTAATCCCCGTGGGGAAACTCAATAGTTTAACAGCTACAGGGTGAGAATGACAAACAGGACAGATTCACACAGATTAGAGATTAATACAATCAAAGATACAAATACAATTATATACATTAAGTGTATGTGTGTGTGTGTGTGTGTGTGTGTGTGTGTGTGTGTGTGTGTGTGTGTGTGTGGGTGTGGGTGTGTGGGTGTGTGAAGTCTTCAAACAAAGCTGTCCTATTATTTTATTTTGTCATATTGCCAAACACTAGGAGAAGGGTCTAACGCCTCACACACACCCTTAAAATACTCTACACATTTACAAAGACATTACCGGGGACGTAATTAGGACCTTTAACTAATTCAGTAGTTTAACAGCAACAGGGTTGAAAAACAGGACGGACCAGATTCACACAAGATCAAATCAAAGATAACATTATATAAAGTTAAGCAACTTTAAAATAAGAAATGAATTCAAATGAACGTATATACATATTTGGTTATTTTTCACAGTGTTACTGTTCTGTGCCATAACACATTTAAGATAAGATAAGATTTTATTCATCAGGAAGGAAGTGGTTGTGCCAGAGTTACAAAGATGCAATAAACTCAGCAGCATGATGATCAAACTGTTCACTAACAGAGCAATTCAATAACTACAGCAAACAGACGGCACATCGTTAATGTGAATGACTGGACAGTGACAAGTAGCCATTTACATTACATTTGTATTCAATCTAATATTTAATATTCCATTCCTCACATACTTATGTATATATAATATACTGCTTTATATTTTCTTACCGTACATTTTGAATTCCACATATATATTTTCTACTTTTTTGTAATGCTATTTTATTTCTATTGAAATGCTTACATCTTGGATTCTTTATTTCTAGTCCTTTAATCTTTATTGTTCAATGCCTTGACTTTTTATGAAGCTGCAACACAAACATTTCCCAGATTGGGATCAATAAAGTACTTCTTATCTTATCTTATCTTATCTCAACGTTAAGATAACCAATAAACGGCAGTTACTTACAGAATAAACGAGAGACTGACTTTCTTTCTCAGAATTCTGTGAAATAAATCTCAGAAAAAAGGTCAGATTTTAAATTTTCTTAAATATTTAATGTAATATCTGTTTATTGACATGTCCTGTTGTTGTTGCTTTAGGGTCCATCGGGGCCTCCAGGCATGCAGGGGTCTGCAGGAGTTCCAGGTGAGGGACTTCCAGGATCCCAGGTAATAAACTGGTTCACCTAAAGCACATTATATCTTTATATCATGTTGGGAACATCCTGAATCTCCTCCTCCAACATGAGTCCACATGATAACAAAGGTACCCCAACTGTAACTGTGAACATGACAGGATGTGTGATTACCTAGAAGAGCATCAGGACTGTTTGAGGCATATGATAGCTATGTGATTAACATGATGATTCAGCCTCTATGGAGAGAGACATATGACAAGCATGCTCATTTGTGACGTGGAGCTAATCTGA